TCGACTTATCCTGCCACGGACGAAACGGTTTCCCGTATTTCCTGACAGGTGCTGATAAATAAGGATATACCTAAGTCAAAGGCTCGAATGTCAGTGCATGGGCGTGGCGTGTGGCAAACAAAGACAAAACCGGAGCCGCCGCATTTCCGACGCTAATTTTTACAGCTCTTTATCCCTCTTTACAGTGCGCGGAAACTGCAATTTCATCTCAAAGAGAGGAAAAGTTGCACGCAATTCTACACATCAAACTAAAACGCTACTACAATAACAATGGTGACCGTGATATACCAGGTGTGTTTTACAGCAACCTAGCCGATAAAACAAATCTCTATGATAACAAAACAAGCAAAGATTGCTAGGCCGACCGATCCGCTCCCGGTCCCCACACCCCCCTTCCCGTGAGAAGCCGTGACTGCTGCTGCTGCACCGGTCACCGTGAGAGAGACCACTCCCCACCACCCCTCGAGCCGCCACTCTGTGTGACCGGACTGGGGCGTCCATGGACAACGGTCTGCAGCACCAGCACCCTGCAGCACGGGCACAGCTCCCGAACAGAGCGGCGGCTCTCTGTGATAAAACGGGACGGCTGTGACAGGCATTACGAGATGCAGGATGCAATCTGGACGGACACTCCTTGCTACCATGACAATCAATTCTATTCGGTCCGGGCCTAACTGGAAGCTTCCAATGTCTGATTGAAGCATGAGGCGCGACGGTTGCTGCCAGCCAACCAGATCCAACAGACGAACCAAGCTCGAGTCGTACCAAACGCGGCTGCGTGTCACACCTTATCCGTGCGTGTATCATTACTCACGTGCGCGGAGCGCGGCGGCGCCCCGCCGCGACCCCTGCCGCCCTAACGGACTATCTCTCCGTCATCGTGCGTATGACAGTGGCTGCCAGTGGTACTGACGTCAGCGTGAGCCATGGCACTGCAGTGACACTGCGGGACGCTCCAGTGGCACTGCAGGATGGCCCAGTGACGCTCCAGTGACGTTCCAGTGATGGTGAGGTCCATTGGGGCTGCAGCGGCAGCAGGGAGCACGTGCCACTGACACGAGGCACGCGCTGCGGGGCGGCACCTTTGTTCCTGCGCCAGTGACCTCGCGGCACTCCTCCTCTGTCGATATGATGACGGTGGCAGAAGCGTGCTCCGCTTCTGTGAGAGGCTGCCGGCCGCCGAACGCCGCAACCCGCCCATTTGCGGTCGGCAGACATTTGATCAATGTATGGGCTTCTGTATATATTTGGGGAAAATTGCACATCTATGTGTGCATGATGGTATTTGTGAGGCTGCAGCTATAATACAAACATCAGGTATGCAAATGCCATTTCAACCACCATTATTTTGAATGACCTCAACATTAGGGGCCCCATGCTCATTTGATACTGATGCTTTACCGAATGTTTCCACATACCCTCATCGTACGTGGCATATAGGCCGAAATGTTCGAAGTACCTTTTCCTTGTTGCATGGATTTCGGAAGATGGCATGCCTCTATTTGGTCACTCGCAGACTGTGGCGAGAGTTGGTGAGGGTTTTTAGATATTTGAATGATAGGGCAGGCACATGTGAACCTTTTTTGCTCATTAGTGACAAACTAATACCCAAATTCGACACTCATACTAAAAACCCTGGATTACTTTGATCACATATCAGATATAAAAGCCCATGCACTTAAGTCACTTTACAAGAAAATCACATCCCTATAGCATTACTTCGAGCAGCTCTTTAATAAAAAAATGTCCTTTGACCCGCACTCAACAGGATTAGCGGATATGCAACATATTTCGTGACTAACAAGATCTTTTCTGGGCAAAATATCTTCTCAAGGACATTTCGGATGCTTGGCCTCTGAAAAAAGAATTTGCACTACGCCGATACTCATGGTGCTGAGTTCTGGGAACAGCACATTGTTTGGTGGCCAACCCGCTACGTGCAAAAGGCCCACCATCAGTGTACTGAGCGAATCGTTCTTGTTCTCTTGTCGGGGACCGCGTCCGTAACATGTCATTGAGCGCCACTTCAGGTGCTATCGTCAGTATCAATATGCGCATCCATATTTACCGAACGCCTCTTCCCGAGATGCCGTTGCGGCGCCCGGGTAGCATGTCGATCGTCCGATAACACCGACCCTCCTGGACGCCTGTCCAGTCTCCGGCGAATGCTGATGCAGGTGTTTCCGGATGGCCTTTCAATGGGTAGCTGACACCCGAAAGGTGCGCACTAGTTGCCGCTCTGCCGGCTCCGGACCGACGGCAGAGTGACGCCGGTCAGTGGACATATCTGGCCACCAGCTGGTTATGTTTGCAGTGGCCAACAGCGCCGCGGAGAGCGTATATTGCCGCGGCGGCCACACCTGTCTGTCCTCCGATCCCGATACGGCTTATCGGTGGCGTATCGGCACCGGCAAGCCCCCGATCCGCCGGGGGTCGCGGCTGTGGCGCCAGTGATGAGAAACGGTCATCGGCCGGCTCGGCTGGACATGCGACTCTGTCCTCGAGTACTGTCCTCTCACTATATGACTGGAAATGGTGCTGAGTGATCATAGCGGACTGTTGATCGCTCTGAACCAGCCTCATACAACTGCGGGTGAGGCAGCCACTGTAGATCTAGTCGTTAGCGTCACAGAAGCAGCTGCTCACCACGCCGGAACTGGTTTGCTCGTCACCAGACTGATGACGCTTCCAGACCGTGTGTGAGACAAACTGGCGTAGAGTAGCAGCGTGAATGACGCTGATGACGGCGGCGATGACGTCCGAGGTGTTGGGGATGACGTGTGAATGTCGGGGATGACGGTGGCAGAGATCTCGGTATAGGTGCTTGACATTTGGTAATGCCACGACTCCCTTCACTCACGGGTGCTTATGAAGGGGATTTCATGTATCATTTGAATTAGCCGTCAGCACGATGTGTTGACACACTGTCATATCAACATAAATCAGTCTTAAGCAGCTATGCTGGGTGTTATTTTGGTCCTTTCAATCATAATCGTCCTTTATTACGCGACTGGTTCTGACAGCGCAGACATGCAAGCTGGCTCTCTGCTGCAAGACAATGCCATGTTTGTTTAGTCAGTGTGACCTCTGCAGCACCTTTCTCTTTCCAATTAAAGACGATGAGTTGAGGTTCGTGGCGTCTTGTCTTTATTTGACCACCTGTCGTCTCGTCTCTCTCAGTCAACCCTCTCTCCTGTCGCGTCACTCCCGTTCGCGGCCCAAGTGGCGGCTGCCGCCTTTCATCTCGACCTGAAGCCGTTGACCCTGACCTCTCCATTGAGGGGTCGGACAGAGGCGACAATTCTGTCACAGCGGCGGGTGACGGGTGGGTCTCGGCCGCGGTGGCCCCGTCCCGCTGCGCCGCTGTGAATGGGCCGGGCCTCAGTGGTGTGTCGTGTGACTCTGGGCCTGTGTTTGGCCTGTTTGGAGGTCGCCGGGTCACGGGTGGCCGCCGCGGCTCGTGACCGAGACAATACAGCCCCCAGCCGGGGAGGCCGACAAATAGACGGCACACAGTCGCCGTCCCTCCGACGGATGAAGACGATAGTTTGGAGTAATTTTGAGCACCCAATAATACGGTTTGAGATGAAGTTGATGGCTGGACAGGAAACACGATGCTGTGTAAGATCAGGGACAAACCAGTTTCTATGAATGAAAAGGTCGGATGGCGATGGGTCTGATAAGACATGGAGAAGAAAGTGAACTTACCAGCTCGGACGACAGACAAAAAAGTAATGAGGCCATCTGAGATTATCAGAGCTGCATCACGGGAACATTGACATGGAACAGGGATTGGTTTAGAGAGTTTGTCAGGGTCGAGATCGCAGCTGGGGCAGGCCACGGGACTGAGGATACGCAGGCCAGACAATGTGGCGGCCACCTTTGATCCTAAATGTTTCTTGCGTTATGAAACGATACGGTCCGGTCACAAATGAAAATTTAAAAAGCCAAAACATATTCCATCTAATGATGAAATGGATCCTCCGAGCGTTAAGTTGCCATGCAAGCGCATTGCAACTATGGTCAACATGTGCCATGTAAAGCAATGTAGCAATAAGTGTATAATCATCTGAGATGTTATCACAAAACCAGGAAGCATTTTCTCTACTTTTTGCTCGCCTGTGTAATAGCACGGCGTCAGGTGTTGAGATCCTTATCTTCTCGGTCCGCCCCAGCACAGGCCATACATACGAGTACATCTATTTCCACTCTGAGTGGTAGGAGGATCGTGTGTCTGACGGGAAAGTAATTTGTTTTCAGACCATAACTCGCGTCCAGATACGGTTCCAGCTAACCTCTGACCTTCGTTCACCTTAACGTCTCCGGCGGACTCGAGATAAATCTGCCCCGGCCGGCGCACCTTTTACCGCCGGACGTGCGGTGCCGGCCCCCGGCTGAACATCCGCCGACTCCCGACCGTTTTTGTGTCCCCACCTAATGCAGTCGTTTGGGACGGTGCCGGTAAACAGACGGGGCCCAGCTGCTTGACCTGCACAACATCGCGGGCCGTTGACAGAACCAAAAGGGCTGTCTGGCTCTCTAAGTGTGTTCTGTGTTCTTGACCTATCAGCGTGTTCCACAGTCGGTGAGGTGTTTGATCTTCTAGTGAGGATCACAGTCATCAGCCGCCTACGCTGTTGTTATTGCATACTGAGTGCGTTCGAAACATCAACTGAACGACAGTGCTAAGCTAAGCGCTTGGTGGTATGAGAAGCTACTTGACGTTGAGATGTTCCTTCCCATCGTGATCATCGAACGTCAGCATGATAGATAACGTGCGTAATAAACCGTTGTTGTGTTGTTCATAAATTGCTGAACTGTTGTCGGAAAAACGGTTATTTAGTTCAAATGAATGTCAATCAAGTTGCACGAATGATGATAAGCCTTTAAGTCTGCACCTGCCAGCTACAGGGCGTCTAAGTGCGACATATGTATGTCCGGGAACTGAAACATACGCAATCATGAAGCGTACATTACAGCGAGTTCTCTATTGCCGGCAGGTGCGAGCTGCTGCGGGACCCGGGCGGCGACCCTGATCCGCCCTCTCTGCGGACTGCCGGCGGGCCGGCCGGGTGATGGCGACCGTGTCCCGCCTGCGACCCGACTCGCTGGCCTACTGCGCCCCGTCTGAGGAGGTGGTCGGTCGCCGGCGGCGGCGGCCCGACTCTCTGTCCACCGGCCTGACACCCCCGCCGACCGACACCCGACTGCCTCCGGACGGTCACGAGTTTCCGCCAGAGTTCCGTGATCGCGAACAGACACCGTCGCCTGGCGACCCGATTGGTCACAGTGGACGAAGCGGGCTCGACGCTGACCAGAAAGGAGAGTCGCAGTCACAGTCCAGAACAATGCTGCTTGACGAGCCTGGTCTGTTCTTCGGGACTTCCCCGCAAAGGAGAGGCTGTCAGAGGTCTGAGTCGATGGTGGAGAGGGACGGAGGAAGTCCTGCGGATTTTCGTAGCAGGGTCATGGGAGAACATGACCTGAGGAAGTCCAAGAGCGGGACTAGCGTGCGCGATAGAATCGCACTATTCTCCAGTCCATCCAAGGAGAGTCTGTCCGGGTCCAGGACCCTGCTGACTTCTCAAGCGGGCTGTGAAAGGGAGACCAGTCTGGATAGCTCCAGGCTGAGTCAGGGCAGGAGTCAGGGTCGGTCAAAATCCGACTTGAAGCTGACAGGAAACGAGTCGCAGCGCTGTCGTTCCCGCGACGACGTAGTTCGTCGCAAAAAGATCTCAGATCCCTCCGGGGACAAGTACGGCAGCCTGACGCGCTTGCGTGGCAAAGACGGAGACCAATCGCCGGGCACAGACTCTTCTTCCTGTTCCTCACGATGTTCCCTGCCTGTCCCTATATCTCACTCACGAGAATCATCCACAGCTCGGTCAGAGTCCTCTGGAGACGAGGGTAACAGCCCTCTCCACGAAAGGTCTCAGAGTCTGTTCGATCTGGGCCACACCGAGAAAAGACATAGCTATGCCGGCATGCAGAGCAAAGCTTATGGTCACCAAAGCCAATCGGCCAATCTTCCCAGAAAGACATCTCTCAACTCAATCATGGAGGAGAGAAAGAAAAGCTTCTCAAAGCTCCGTGGTTTGATTATACCCAGTAAAGTAGATGTTACAAAGAGGGGTCCCGCTGACATGCCAGCGATCAAGAGCAAGGAGTTGCGCGTTCTAGCCAAGCCCACGGCTCGTCTTCTGAGTCCAGTGGCCTCCCCGAACCGCTCACGTCTCTCCACCCCGGAGCGACTAGAGCTTCCAGAGCCGCGTCACCTCTCCTCTCCGCCCTGGAAGGGCGATGCCTCCTCCACCCTTCCAGCCTACTCACCGGCCTTCAAACGCAAGAACGTCTCTGTGTACTCGTCACCGGGTTCCGCCTTCCGATCCGTGTCATCATCTGCTCGTTTGGGTGGCTCTTCAATTGAGCTGTCCCGGGCGACACCCCACGACACTGCCTCCCGCCGGCAGGAGACGCGTGGTGGGGCTCGCTCAGGCCTCCAGCGCACCCCACCAGCCAAGGAACCACTACAGCGCAGCAGCTCACTGAACTCTCGTCCCCCAGCCGGTGCTGGAGACAGTCGCCGCCGTATCTCCGACGACGTGGGCCCACTTGAAGGCCGCAGGCTACCCGCTCGGATTCAGCCTGCTGACAGCGACACGGATGTTGGGAGCTCGACGCTGACGTTGGTTGCAGAACCACTGGAGGAGACGTCGACTTCACGCGGTCTGCGCAGCCGCGCCGGGAGCTTCGATTTCGACCACCGCGCCAGCACGTCCACTCTACACGCCTCGTCGCCGGTCAAAGAACTCGACGTGGAGGAAGAGATCAGGAAGGCGGCGGCCGGTGAGCCGTCGCGAAGCCGGTCGCCGTCTCTGAAGGCATCAGGTCCAGCAGCACAGCAAGAGAGATCGGAAAGGGTGAGCGGCTCGCCGCCAAAGATCCAGGAGGATGCTGCGTGGCGTAAATTTTCGTCAACCACTGACTCCAATGTTACTGGACCAAGTGCCGGAGAGTCGCGAGATCTTTCGAAACTCCGGCAGTCTAACAAGGCCAGCGTGAAGTCTCTGAAAGAACGCTGGCAGATGATGAGCGACATCAGTGAAACTTCGTCCGCCTCCGTCAGCCGATCCCCGAGTCTCCGGTCTGACCGACCAGACGTTGTCGTTCGGGATCCGATATCTCGCGAGTCAGTGCCTCGTGACAGCGTTCCTCGAGAGACTTCAACATGCCAATCTGTTTCTCGCGAAAGTGTCACAACTGACTCTTCTTCAAATGATTTTGCGTCTCGAAAGACTGTTTCTCGTGAGTCAGTAATCCAAGAGACAGTTTCAAATGAAACTGTTTCTCATGAATCGATTACACAAGAATCCAGCACAATTGAGACGGTGACCACCACATCATCCCTCGCTGAGCACACTCCCTCCACCGCTCTTTCTAAGGAAACGCCCACCAGTGTGCGGGATGTGGTCGACCGTAACTGGCCCAGCATCGAGAGTGAGCGAGCCGATATTGACCGAAAGCTGAGCACGCCCAACTACGGTGGCAGCACACCGACACGGCTGCGGGACCGGCGCGGACACGTGCCGTCTCGGCCACAGAGCTGGGTCGAGAGTGAGCAGGAGCTGCGTATCCTGGAGACCGCCGGCGGCCTCCTGTCTGCCGGTGGCGGCGCTATTAGCACCTCATCCAGCCAGGAGAACATAATGGACTCGCTCGACTGCGGCAAGTCGCCCAGCGGCTCGACCAGCAGCCTCCTGGAGATGCTGACCGCCAACCTGAAGCGAAACGCCCGCTCTCGGCATGTGTTGAGCGTCAGCGACCTGCGGCGGGCCTTCGAGCGCTCTGATGGGCGCACGTGCCACGCACGCATGTCCTCGATGGACTCGACTGGCAGCGAGGACAGCCCGGGGGTGGCCGCTATGATGGGGTCGTCAGCCAGGGAGCACTACGGCAGCATCACGTCGCTGGCCTCGTCCACCAGCCTCATCTCTCCACACGTGAGTAGCAGAGAGTCCGTAATTCACAGACATGACACTTGGTGGAAGTTTGTGCCATGGCAAATGAATTACAAAGTTTAAATTTTTATAGGCTTCAACAGATTTGCTCTTTTGACACTTTCAATGCCAAGCATACCTTGTCTCGTCATTGTAGCGAGTCGGTCATATTTTGCTAGTTCGCATGATTACATATTTAGCCCGCGCCCCGCTGGGGGGGGGGGGGCAGAATCTGCCCCCCCCTCCCGTTTTTCGCCAATAACTTCTAAACGCGTTACGCCAGCGACGTCAAACTTCCGGTACCTTATCATACATCAATTTGACACGTTCCCTGAAAATTTGAGCGAAATCCGTCGGAAATTTTTTGAGAAATTGACGTTTTAGTGACGTCATGTTCGCCATTTTCGCCTCAAAAACGGCGAAATTTCAAACGCCGCTAACATCTTCATTTTTAAAGGAATCAAGACGTAACAAAAAAGGTTATGCGTGATTCCACTTTGTCTATCAAATGGCTATCTCGGTTTTTTGAAAATTTTGGATTTTGGCCCAATTTTTTTTTTCAAAAAACTGACTTTTTTGGGAAAATAGTTATAAAATCCAAAATTTTGAGTGTATCGAAAAAACCGGAATATATGTCAGAGAAGTGGTCTATGTGCACCTACATACCAATTTTGAGAAGAATCGGTTCAAAAATGTGGGAGTTATTCAAAATTTTATGACGTCACGACACACAAAATTTTTGAAAAATGACTTTTTTGGAAGTTCTAGACCTCGTACGGAAACAAAAATAGCACCATTCGATTCGCCGTGAAAACCTGCATCAGATAGACACCTTTTTAGGCCTTAAAAACCAACTTCAAAATTTGACCTCACTTGACCTGACCTTGACCTGACCTTGACCTGAAATTCATCCAGAGGTGGTCCATATCACTTATTGAGTGTGCCTATTGAATTCTATGAGTAAAATGACCCATAAAACATGTGTCGCACATGCCCTTTGCTATATTTTGTTTTTGGTGACCTGACCTGACCTGACCTTGACCTTGACCTTTGAATGACATTGTATGCAACGAATATTGTCTTGGTAGTCTAAGAACACGTTTTGGGCAATCAGTCTCAGTCCATTCTTCGGCAACTACGGTGCAAGGCCGATACTGTAGAAACTTGCATTTTGTACCCTTGACCTGACCTTGACCTGACCTCTGACCTACTTAAGCAAACAAATTTGGGCTCTTGAGATCCGCCTTGTTGAGAGCTTTCGATTGCCGTTTTCCCCGTCTTTCTACGACCATCGGTTCGGAAGTTAGACAGGGGGGGCAGAATCTGCCCCCCCCCCAGCAGGGCGCGTATGGCTGAATAGCCCAGCGGGGCGCGGGTTACCTACATTTGCATTGCATTGATTACATTTGCATTACATGTTCTTACTTTCATTTTATCAATCACCATATCGTACTACACACATGTAGGTAAGTGTTATAAATGCTTATAGCGTGGGTCTTTTAACACTCCAGATAAGCCAAGATTTCATTAGGACAAGCATGCATATTGCATATTGCAAAGCATAACTATCTAACACGAGCCGTGGATATCAAGATCCGCATATCCGCAGTCCGCGCGAGTGTTTGCATCTTTTACGTCGCTGGAAATCGCGATGAAGCCCAGATAATATTGCATGCTGACAAGAAAATATTGCATGTATTAGTTCTATTTCACTGGTCCATTTCGTTAAAAAGTTCATAAATCTCCCACATCCCTGGAACGCGAAATTGATGGCTAATGGGCACATGACACTTCTGTCATCAATATGCCAACTGCCGATCATGATAATTCCCGTTCGTAGTAAAACCAATCCCTCCCACCATGTCCATCTGGCTTCAAAACGATGCATCGGCCCGCCTCGAGTGGGTACCTTGCTACGCCTTAGTCTGCCTCTGTAACTGTATCCGTTCGGAGTCAGTCTCTTTGTTAACCCGCGCGGGGCTGGGGTCTCCAGCCGAACGTGCGGGGCTGGGGGGGGGGGGTAAATTTTACCCCCCCCCCTGTTATCCCCCAAACTAATGGTCCGATTTGGAAAATTCAAACGCCAATCGAAAGATCTCATCACGAACAACTAAAAACATGTACTTAATTTAAAGTTTGAGGTCAAGGTCAAGGTCAGGTCAAGGGTACAAATTGCAAGTTTCTACAGTATCGGCCTTGCACCGTACCTAGTTGCCGAAGAATGGAGTCATCGACTGAGACTGATTGCCCAAAACGTGTTCTTAGGCTACCAAGACAATATTCGTTGCATACAATATCATTCAGAGGTCAAGGTCAAGGTCAGGTCAGGTCAGGTCAGGTCACCAAAAAACAAAATATAGAAAACGGCATGTGCGACACATGTTTTATGGGTCATTTTACTGATAGAATTCAATAGGCACACTCAATAAGTTGATATGGACCACCTCTGGATGAATTTCAGGTCGAGGTCAGGTCAAGGTCAGGTCAAGTTAGGTCAAATTTTGAAGTTGGTTGTGAAGGCCTAAAAAGGTGTCTATCTGATGCAGTTTTTCACGGCGAGTCGAATGGTGCTATGTTTGTTTCCGTACGAGGTCTAGAACTTCCAAAAATATCATTTTTCAAAAATTGTATGCATCGTGACGTCATAAAATATTAAATAACTCCCACATTTTTGAACCGATTCTTCTAAAAATTGGTACGTAGGTGCACATATACCACGTCTCTGACATATATTCCGGTTTTTTTCGATGCACTCAAAATTTTGGATTTTATAATTATTTTCCCAAAAAAGTCAGTTTTTTTAATTGGGCCTAAATCCAAAATTTTCAAAAACCGAGATAGCCATTTGATAGACAAAGTAGAATTACGTATAACCTTTTTTGTTACATCTTGATTCCTTTAAGAATGAAGATGTTAGCGGCGTTTGAAATTTTGCCGTTTTTGAGGCGAAAATGGCGAACATGACGTCACTAAAACGTCAATTTCTCAAAAAGTTTCCGACGGATTTCGCTCAAATTTTCAGGGAACGTGTCAAATTGATGTAAGAAAAGGTACTGAAAGTTTGACGGTGCTGCGCGCCGCCGTTTTTGAGATATTGCAGAAATTCGCGAGGGGGGGGGGTAAAATTTACCCCCCAGCCCCGCGCGGGTTAACTGCCCGTCCGCGTCTCATAATACGGTGTATGTCTCGGTGTCCGTGTCCATCTCTGCGTCCGTCTCGGTCCATGTCTCGATGTCTCGATGTCTCGATGTCTGTATCCGTCCAGAGTCGGACTCTGTGACCATTTCAGCGTTCATATTCGTGTCGGCGTCTATGTGCCCGTCTTGGAGTCCACCTTAGCGACCGTCTCTGTATCCGTCCTGAGCCCATACGGAGTCCGTCTCGGTGTCCGTCTCGGTGTCCGTCTCGGTGTCCGTCTCGGTGTCCGTCCCGCCCCGACCCCATCCGTCAGCCGGCGAGAGGGTGCTGACGCGGCGCTGACACGGCCCCCTGCGCCACGTGACGCCGCTGTCAGAGGCCGTGAGTGATGTGACGGCTGCAGGCGGCCGGTAAGGCGGCCCACAGTGCCCCCGGCGTGTCGGCCGGTGTCCGGTGTCGGGCCCCGGGGTAGCGGCGACAGGTCCGTGGGCTGACAGGCTGACGGGTGACAGGTGGAGGTGGTGACAGGTGACAGTCTGCCGCGCGAGTAGGATAGGACAGGACAAGGTGGCGTGACTGGACGCGACAGAATATGATTAGAAAGAACTGTTTAGAAACAAGTTCTCAAGGAGCGGGTCAGAAATCAATGAGACGGCCAGTTTGTAGACCATCGCGTCATAAAAATATGCACATTCACTAAACCATTTCGTATCAATTTGGAAGTTAGGCCATTGCGGATATTCCTGATAATCTACACACGAGAGTCCCTTTAGGTAATGTTTTGACACTAATTTGGCACCGATGTCATGGTTTGCCACACTGGCCATTTCCGCGTGGTCCGCCACCCACTCGCGATCGGCCAGAGGTCGTCTGCGCTCCGTCTGGTGCGGCCCGCCGCGGTCGTCCAGCCTTGGTGTTCGGCCCCGCCGGCGGCGGCAGCAGCCGCGGCTCGGCACTGACCAATCCGGGCCAGAGGCGGCGCCGACTGCCGGCGACCCCCCGCGAACGGGGCCGGCGCCGGCGGCGGTGCGGGGGCGCCGGGCCGGCGGTCGCGGTCGGACCACCGCGCTCGCCCCGCTGCCGGTCATTACGGGCACGGAGCAGGCGTCGTTAGCCCGGCCCGGTTCCCGAGCGGGCCCAGCCCTCGCGCCGGGAACCGGGCCACATAAGGTGACGGCCCGGCCGGCGCTGAATTATGCTGTGACGTGCCTGTAATCGGAGCTGCTACAAGGGGGCACGGCTGCCGACGGGGACTGAGGAGGAACCAAACTGGAGCCAGCAGGAAGTGCCAGGGAGCCAGTGGATAATAATAACGGGAAGCTTTCAGGAAGCGGGGCGGAACAAAAGGTAATAGTGAAAAAACGAATGGGAACAGATGCCTACGTAATGAGTTGAGGAAGAAGGACTGGAGCAATGATATTGGGTGTGCCGGTGCCCCTTGCTACCGCTGGATATTCTCTCGCACTCGGCACTCACAGCATTTTGTCACAGCCACAATGCTAGAATTTCCCTAACTTCTTGGCCCACATCTCGTGCAAGTCTAGGTGGGGAAGTGCCAATTCCATCACCCTCTTTATCCACATAAATCTCGAATTATCCGGTGTGCTAGGTGAAAGCTGGTGGTTGATGAGATACAGACATGCTGCCATTTTCATAATCTTCCCGACACACAGGAATTAAGCTCCATGGTCCATACATTCAAGAAATCTTCTTTCACTTCCACTGAATTCCATCCCAAGCGGATGCTGCAATTTCGAGCCGTCGTTTCAGGTATCAGCTACATCCTACTGCAGCATGGTTTGTATCATGGAACTTTTCATTAATCAGGATACCCTTTTTCATTGACGTGAGGATGCGCAAAAAAAACGCAATTAATTTACAATAAACAGATCAATTCAATAAGGTGCCAGCTGCCAGTCATTGCCTTCCCTCAGAGAGAACAGTAAGGCATCAAACCGATAATCTCCGTTCCTCAGGCATTGTTAGCGGAGTACAGTCACAGACGCTGAGTACGGCATTCGCCCGGAGACAATGGGCTGAGCAGCGGTTAGGGACGAGTTAATCCGCCGAACACAGTTGTCGATCTCTAGGAATGCAGGATGCCACTGATCTTCCAAAGGGAGCTGCTGCAGTCAGTGCGACGATTCTCAGCACAGTGCATTGCAAACAGTCACCAGCGCACAGAAGACAATTTCTTGCAGAATTGCGGTTGATAACAATGCTGCAAGCTGTTTGCAGATTGCTGAACAAAACTAAAATTTGTGAAACTGAATTTCACACAGCCAGCGAGGTGGATCAAAACACATACGGCGCCATAAAAGACATGCGGCACTATAAAGGCAGTCACTCTACTGGAATGAATAATACCTAATGGTCTGGAATGAGCGTTCGGCTCAAAGTTCCCTGCGAACCCATCTTTACAACTACTAGTTACATGTTGATAATAGAAGCCTGACCAGCGTGTTGTGATTAACGCATTGCCATTTATCCCTCGCTCTGGCAGGGGGGGGGGTCGATGCGACCCCCCCCCTAAGGTTTTTCGAAGATAGCGTAAAAACAGCGGCGCGCAGCGCCGCCAAATTTGGCACAGCTTATGGGGCAACCTTTTTACATATGACCTGAAAATTTCAGGTCCGGGTGACCTTGGGTCAGGTCACCAGGTCAGAAAAACCGGTACAAGGTCATGGTAAAATTTCAATTTTCTTTTTGCACCTGTCCAACTCACAGTTTTCGACTGATTTCCTTCAAACTATCAGGATGTGCTAAGTTCACCGAGTTGTATAACATATAGTCCGGTTTTTTTTTAGGTCACTGACCTGAGGTCAGTTAAAGGTCATTACGTCGTAATGTTAAGCCTATGGGAAAATACTAAATTCGGAAAATACTGGAGATATCCGCTTCGTTCTATCACTTTTGTGCTTTGAAACCACGGTACTTAACAGCAGGTCACTTGGTGCTTCTTTGTTTGGTGTTCTTATCCATGGGTCAGGTCAAATGAGGTCAACTGAGGTCAAATGACGTTTTTGCCAATAACTTGGCACATAATGACGCTAGACCTTAAAAAATGGTATCATTGTGTTCCTGGTGATCAGCCGAATCGAATGATATGCGATATGATGCAATTTGGTTAACTTGAACTTAATTTATTAATTTAAGTTTACTTAAAATTTAAGAATAACTTTAACTACACTTAAGCAAGCTAAAAAGTATATCATTCGACGCGCCTTGACGTGCTGAGTTCACTGGTGCTTTTCTTTTTGCTCTATCTTAATTAGATCAAAAGTTATAAGCGAAAAACCTTTGACCTGTTTTTAGCGAAATTTTTACATTTATACCCCCAAAACCCCCCTAAATATTGACCTAGAGCAACAAAATTTGCACAGGGGCGAGAACTCCAGGGGGCCCACCTACCTACCAAATTTGGTGTTTCTAGGTGCCATAGGAGCCAATCGCGAGGGAGGGGGTCGCATCGACCCCCCCCCCCCCTGCCAGGCCGTGTTATGAAAAATGCCCTGCCAGGGCGAGGGTTATATCAGCTCCTTGCCAGCATGCTATATTTGGACTGTCGTACATACACTGCCATTAGCATTGCTCACTCCAAAGTATATTCTGCACAGATAACGTGTCATTTGCACTGAATCGGTAGACAACCGTTTTTCGACCGCAGTTAATGCAGCATTGTTGTTGAACGCGAGCTGAACAGCGCGAGGCGGCGAACTGCTTGCTGTCTGGCCCTTATATGCATGTGCTGGTCGGGCACGAATGCACCTAAATGTAGTAATTTCCAATCCTGCTTACCTACTGTTCAGGGGTCAATGCTCACGGAACTTTGCAATGTTACCATCATGTGTACTGTAGGGCTGGCCTTTATTTCTAGATTTGATAATACCATCGCGTCTGCTCTCTGTGCCACCAGGAGCTACAGCAGCTGATCGAAGAGGCCAACCAGTCGCTGGAAGAGGCCGGCACGCCATCGCACGAGATTATCGTGGCTGTCGTGCACCGAGAGATGATGGGAGGCAGCATCGGCATCACACTGGCCGGCGGCGCCGACTACGAGAACAAGGAGATCTCGGTACGGGGCGGGGAGATATCAGTGGGAGGCGGGGAGATATCGGTAGGAGGCGGGGATATATCGGTAAGGACGGGGGGATCTCGGTAGGGGCGGGGGGATATCAGTAGGGGCGGGGAGATCTTGGTAGGAGGCGGGAAGGCGGGGAGATATTGGTAGAAGGCGAGGAAATTTCGGTAGGAAGTGGGGAGACCTCGACAGGAGGCGGGGAGATCGATAAGAGGCGGGGATATTTCTGTGGTTGGCGGTGGGATTTCGGTGGGGGCGTAAAACATGGGTACGCAGCGGGAGATATCGGTAGGGGCGGGGGCGGGGAGATTTTAGGAGGCGGCGATATCTTGGTGGGACGAGATAACGCTGAGTCGATGGAAACGGCCTGAAGGGCCTCGCCAGCTAAAATACAGAAAGACCCAACATTGCATTATTTAATTCGTGTTGAGATGCAGTACATAATGTATGGAAAAGATTACGGCGTGTTTTATTCAAATCTGTCTTATACTGCTAAATGCTCCTTCAGTGCAGCGACAGTTTGAGTAAGGGCATGAATGCTATGATGGCTAATACGGTCTCTTTTAGATATCGCCAGTGCAGTCCAGTAAAGCATGCAATGCTCACGTTCACACTGGCATCACTGTCCAAATCCAGCGCTAAAGCGTGTCTCGGTGTATACCGTTTGTGCCGACAACAGGTCGGTTGTTTACGATGCGCTCTCGAGCGCCAGATTCGCCGCACCGCGCCGTGTAGCTGACGTGTGTTGTGTTCAATCGTGCTGTGCTCAGTGTTTGCCCCGCCTGTCTCTTGTCGTGTTTTGTTTTCGTCTACAATCTTGACAACCGAACCGATTCCATAGACATCGACGGAATTGATCGAACATCATCGTTCGAGGCAACCCGCTGAATGTTGAGCTTCAATCTCCATTATCTTGTGCCACTACTGATCACGATACTTTCTACATACAGGTTGAAGTGTGCTTATATACTGATAGTGCTCAGCATGCACACATTTAGCTATCATGTCCAGGCAACGCTTTGATCTACCATCACTAAACGTCTACCGTCGTCCGTTTTCAGGTGAACAAGGTGATCCGGGGTTCGGTGGCGGACAGGGACGGTCGGATCCAGAAGGGTGACCGGGTCATCTCCATCAATGGCCGGTCGATGAAGAACACCACCCACCGCGAGGCCCTCAATACACTCAAGGTATGGCAGAACCGGATAAATGACATGACAAGGTACCGGTAAGGTGTGCGAATTTTAGGTGAACGGGATAACTCGGATTGTACTGGGAACGGACACTGGATGTGCGATGACGCTGAAGGGATTCAAGGGATTCATTTAAAAGCCACTTACCGTCTTACCACACCCTGAGATGGATCACGCGGACCTCCGTTCAAGAACGAGTAAATTTTCTACATTTAGCTGCTAACATGCGAAATCATCACGGAGCGGTGTCGATTATCATTTGAGGTTCACGAGTCTACCGACAAACGCGCATCTTGCCTGTAAATTGCAATAACAATAAAACAAGCTAACGTATTAATCACGTCCTTTGGCACCCGGGTTAAATCCGCAACTGGAAGATAACACACGAACTTACATTTACCAATGAGACCAAGCTACCGTCAACATTTATTACTGTAACCAAGCTAAGGTCGGCCCCCTGCGACCGGGTCATCCGACGGCGCCACCTGGACGACGAGGACGACAACGCTCCCTGGCGTGCCCACAAGAGGGCCAACGTAACAACGCCACCTACCTACAACAGGCAGGCAGCTCCGTCCAACACTGATGCCCCCTGGATGGGATAAGGTGGACATTGATGTACAGGGTGGAAAGTAATTACGCGAACATGTATTTTCTTACAATTTCGCCCGTCAGTGGAGATTTTGTATGAGCGCGGGCTGTTATGGAACATGACTGGTCGTGTTTGTTGTCGCCTCATCTAACAAAAGTGACCTTACTTTGAAAAATGACTTGGAAGGTCTACAACACCTCTCGGCTTCGAGTGGTGCTGACGCCATACGCTGCTCAAGACCAAAATGGGCAAAGAGCTCAATTTGAAGTTGCCAGGGAAAGCGTTTATGATTATTTTGGCTGGACTGATGCGGAAGGGACTCGGAACGGTCTCGGCACCAGTATTACTCAATTACACCTTTGGTTGAAGCATAATAAAACTTAAAGAGGACTTAAAAAGCAAAGCCGTTGGCGGCAGTAAAACCACGGCGAATTCAGGCGCCGAATGGGTGGTCACCATTTCCGCGACCAAACGACAACAGTCGACCCGAAAACAGGCGAAATGGTTTACTTTGGCCGGGTACCCGATCTAAGATATCACGATTCATACATAAATCCGTGAAAATTCGAAAATCAAGCCGTACAAACAATCGAGATGGCCAAAATTCATGAATTAACAGCAGGATTGTCAATTTAAGTTTTCTAAAGACCGCCAAACCTGAACAGAGGAGGACAGGCAGCTGGCTTTGTGGCTGGGTGAGACATCTTCGAAGCTTTTTCATCCGTCAAACCTGCAGAACAACGCGTTGGGGGCTGCTGATGCGTCCGACGTCCCGCCCGTCCCAACCTTCAAACATCCGGCAAAGGAACACACATCAGCGTGTTATGAGCGCCCGGATGGTGTCAAAATTGCATGTAGTGACCAACAAGGCCACCAAAAATAAAGTATACAACTAGTGGAACATCCTTCCAGACGAGTCTCTTTATCTAATCCATCAATGCACCAAAAGGGGCAAAATGATTGAGCGCACTTTTGTGCCCGACGCAAAGAAACTCTTCTTCATGATTGATAAAGTCCTTCCTCTCACGGCCAAAAAGACGCAAGACTGGTGCTTTGAGAACCCGTTCTTCTTCTGGGCATATAATGGTCAATCTGGGAATAGCCCAGACCCCAATTTGATCAAAAATATCCAGGCGACTCTTCAGGAGAGCGTCTAAGAGCTGCTAGTAGCCACCAACATCGATTGCCTCACCAGACAGCTCCAGGAGGCGTGGACTAAGCTTTGGCCAACAGAGCTTGACATGCTCATGTCAATTATGCCTGAACGCCTTTGTCAGTGTATCGCACATAAATAGGAATATATGAAAAGATGAAATTTTCATGTTACCGCCGCTTTTTCCATTGCTATAAGACGAAAAAGTATGTTCGCGTAATTACTTTCCACCCTGTATATTTGATCTAGCATCTTCAATGGTACGGGTAAAAGAATGGTTCACAACTGCCTTGAGTACATACTAAAGCAGTCATCCGCATCCCGATAAAGCAACTTAGGTCGTGGTCGATGAAGGCGAGTTCTTCTCCACTCCACCTACACTCTGCAGGCCGCGGCACATTCATTCTTTTTCTTCGGGACTTGCCCAGTCCATCCGATTCATTTATCAATGACCACCCGCCCCTTTCCCAGACCCATTGAGCACCACTCTTCTCCTGGATTGGCGGTCACACCATTGCAACGGTAACAGTTACGGGAAAAGCTCCAATAAGAGCAAATACCTCCGTCGTGACCGCTCGGCGCGGCTAAATGACCTGTCTCTGGGACGGGCTCAGCCGCGGCATAGTACTTCTGTAAGTGATCGATTCAGCTCACTGTCTCCTTCATAGCATTCCATGGCTATCAGCCTGCCAGAGCAATGAGAAACCATACGCAACAAGACAACTAAAACGAACCCAACAAAAAAACGAAGCCAGGTGATTCTTAGGACCTGACCATACACTCAAAGTATTGATTAATGATCTATTGATCACTCACAACCAGGGCTGCGGAGTCGGAGTCGGAGTCGGAGTCGGAGTCGGTCGGAGTCGACAGATCTGCCCGGAGTCGAGTCGGAGTCGGAGTCGATTTTGGAAACCGGATCTGGAGTCGGAGTTGGAGTCACCGAAAATCAATCGACTCCGCAGTTCTGGCGGTGCTGCGGAGTCGGAGTCGGAAGTTGGAGTCGGTCGGAGTCGACAGTTCTGCGCGTAGTCGGAGTCGGGGTCAGAGTTGGTTTTTGAAAGTCGGAGTCGGAGTCGGAGTCAGAGTCGCCGAAAATCCATCGACTCCGCAGCCCTGCTCACAACTATAAGTTCCGAATTCGGATCTGGCATCAGTCACCTGGCCTGAGGTAGCCAGCGCAGCGTGGCAAACATTTTTCAATGATAAAATTAGTGGTCGCAAAATATACCTGCCCATAGGTCACCGATAAAAAGAATTTAACATATGCATTTAATAATCTCATCTTCTGTCACTCACACCATTCTTTTGAAGTTGTATAGCAGCCGTTCATTTTACGTGCGATTAGCTATGGCGAGTATGATCATTTTTCTTCAAGGGGATTCACTTGACACGATCTGATGACCAGTGAGAGTGACCCGAAGTGACCAGGGTTACCAATATTAGCGCTGCGAAATATAACCTGTGGTAAAACCCGGAGGGGACATTATATCCCCCCCCCCCCCATTCCTTATGACGCGGGTTTGACGAACAATATACTTTATAATGAAACGATACCTGCTGTGTGCTAAACAATACGCTGGGTATCTAGTGTTTTTTATGGATACCACTATCAAATTTGAACGTAAAGAAAGGTTAAGTATTCGAAAGGCGGTCAAATCTAATAGCGTGATCATGACAAAGCCGCCATAAAATACAGCAGATCACGCAGAGCACTGAACAGATGCTCGCTAGACCTTTAAGTACGCATGGTTTTGCACGCTGTATTCGCTGGTCATTGGATTCCAATGGTCTCTGATGAGATCTTTCGCCACTCTGCAAGTTGCCATTGCCACGATCCGCCCATGGTCTCCGATTCCGCCCCTCCCTGTTCCTCCTATACCCTCCCCCTGTTCAGCTCCTCCCTGTCCCGCCCTCCTTGCTCCTCACTAGTCACTCCCACATGTCCCACCCTCCCTGTCTCACCCATCCACGCCCCTCCCTGCTCCTCCCACTGCACCGTTCCGGGCGGGTCGGTCTGCCGGCCGGCCAGCCCCGCCGTCCCGGCCTTGGACCGTCTCCCCACATACCGGTGCTGCGCCGGCCGGCCCGACGGTCCGGCCCGCCCTCAGACTCCAGTTGCAGTGCACGCGGCGAGCGCTCCACTCCGTCCGTCCCCCGGCGCCGCCCCGCCGCCGCGGCGCGTGCTCCAGCCTCCAAGTCAGTGGTGGATCAGATTGAACACTGAGCAGTTCGGTTATCAAGGAGAAACCCCTAAATAAGCTGTGCCTGGACTGGGAAAGACGAGCGGCGTGTCGAAGCTTGTGTGGGTGGCGGAAAGCGGACACTCGGCGCTGGAAAGGAACAGTGGCTGGTGGGTGGCACATTGCCCGAGTTTTTACTTCCCCTTAGTCAGTCTCGGTCTGACAGAGGACAGAAACTGTTGATCGGTGACCGACGGCTCACTGTCAGCATAGCCGGTGCAATCGTCCCGTCAATCCGCTCGTGCTATCTCGCGCCGGCCGGGCGGACATCCGTGCTCCCACGCGGTCCTGCGGTCTCGGTCGGCGTCGAAGCCCTGTTGCCGCGGTCCGGACCGGCAGTGTGGTCAGTGGCGCAGAGTGAGCTACTGTGTCCGAGCTGCTCCACCGTGAGCAGCGAGCTGCCGCAGCTCTGCCACCACCGTCATGGAGTGCCTCTTCTGCCGGAGACAGCTGCTCAGCCCCACGTGGAGCGCGCCCGTCTGGTATATCGAGGTACGCCGTACTTTGGGGGGGGGGGGGGTATAAATGAAAAGTAGGTATCGTGGCCACCTGGCGCTATTTGTCATAGACGGAGATTCATACACTCATGGATAAAGTGAAGAGTACAGTAAAAACGCATTTAGCATTGAAAATACTATCAACGCTGCACAGCGCGCCGTTAAAAGCTTGCGGATCACCGTCACAAATTATGGGATATGTGACACTTGTGGGTTAGATACCACAACGAACTGTGTTACCGATAAATTGTGTTATTTAGATCTTAGGTACTATCCAATTATGAGTATTCAGCCCTAAAACAATATATATCGGGCGGTACTATAGCAATCAACAATATGTACAGTAATTTTTTAACCAATACATATAATATTCAGTAGGTAATTAGTGCCTCGGTGTGCGGACCACCTGAATAACGACAGACTATTCACTTTTACCAAATGAACGGCTTTGTCCTGTTCATTGCGACGTTGATACCTATGTGAGGTTACTTACAGTTAAAAAACCTCCGCAA